GTGGCTTTCCGGGCGGTGGCGGGCCCCCAGGGGAGCCAGGAGCCGAGAAACAAGATTGCAGGGAGGGGACCAGCAGTTAGCGTAATGGCTATGTCGCTGGACTCCCATGTAGTCGACCGCGGTTCGCGCCCTGGACCCGGTGGCTTAAAACTCACGCCGGGCGCGTGTGCGTGTGTGCCCAAGATCCCAAGAGGAAAATGGAGGAAAAGGGATTGCGGTGTGGCCATCCCTCCTGGGGGGTGATTTCTCGCTTTCTGCTTCTCTGTCTCTCTCTTTCTGGCGAGCGCACACGCCCTATAGCGAAAACCTCTAAAAAAAAAAAAAAGGCAAGATTGCCGGGATTCGGGGCACACGGGCTGACACTGTCAGGCAGAGGCCAACCAGGTCTGTGTGGAGAGGACAGTGAGGGGGGCGCACAGGGGCGCTGTCCTGTGCTTTTAGGCGCTAAATCAGCCAGACGAACCTGGTGCGAATTCCTGTGCTTTTGCTCGGACTGGGAGAGGATGGCTTGAGGGAGCTCAGAAGGCTCACTGCCTGCAGGACTGGGGGTGAGGGTCGGGGCAGCACAGCCAGGCCTCACGGCCTCTAGTCCAGGCTCCCCCAGGCCCACACTCTGGTCTCGCCCACTGGGTCATGCCCTCTAGGATGGGACCTTTTTGGCCACTCCGTCCTCTCTGTAAATATTTCTTCTATTCCTGATCCCGTTAATCAAAAGGAAGGAAGGTCTAGACCCAGAAATGCACCCTGCCCAGCAGCAGAGGTGGAGAACCAGACCCAGGAGGCGCCACAAGTGCCTGGCACCTTCCCACAGCCCCACACGGCCCTGGGCTCCTTGGCCTAACACCCTCCAAAGGCCTGTGCAGTGACGAGCCACTTCGGACGGTCCTGAAGTCGTCCTCTGTGTTCAGAGCCGCCTCGCAGTGGTTAAGGGCACCCAGGACATGCTGGTTAACGGCCCTGCATCCCAGGCCCATCCCAGGCCCATGGCCACAACCTTCTCCCGGCTGGCAATGTGAGACTGAGCTGAAGCCCAGCTGAAAGCGATCCCCAGCCTGGCGCCACGCCATCCTCCTACTGGGTTCCCGGCAGCCCTGCCAGCCCTGCCAGGACTCCTGGCCCCTTTGTTTCCACCATGCAAAGCCAGCTCTCGCCCCTCAGAGACCGTGGGACTGTCTGTGTCTCCTCTGTCCCCAGCTGGGGTTCAGTGAGCATCGGCCAGGGCAGGCAGTGCCGGGAGAGAGCGGGGAAGGCACTTGTTTCCTTTATTGAACATCTGCAGGGGGCACCTCAGCTCAGACCTGACAGCCAGGGGAGGGACAAGCAGGCAGGAGGTGGGGGCAGGAAGACGCCCACCCTCATTTCCAGTCCTTGAAGAATTGCTTGAAGATGGGGCTCTCACGGCCCTGGGGCAGAATCTCCACCTACGAAAGGAGAAGTCTGGTTCACAAGGTTGCCACTTCCACCTCCGCCAGAACAGGGAGGGCTGCAGACCCGGAGGGAGTGTCGGGGCCGGGCGAGCCCACATGCAGTCCAGGCCAGCACGCACCTCCAGTGAGCCAGGAGATGAGACACGAGATTACGGGGCACAGCCTGGGCAGACAGACTATTTCAAGGACTTGGGTGCACAGTTTGGAACCAACTGGGGACAGGGATCAGAGGATCTCCGGGCATCCTCTTTGGAAAGAATGTATTTCTAACATTTTGAAAGCTAGAGAGGGACGTTGCATCAGGAGGGACAGAGAGGGAGGCCTGGTGGTCCCTGTGTCGAGGCCCTCCGGCCCTCCTTGTCCTCAGGCCACTGAGAGTCTGGAGTCGGGTCTGGGGCACAGGCCGTCTCCTCACCTGAGTGTTCGGGGCATACCGCATGCGGGTGATGAAGCCCTCGGCCACCTGGAGGGCCGCCTGACGCTCCTTCTCATTAGCTTTTCGCCCTGCATTGTGGAAAGAAAAAATATTTTTAAGTCGGATGTTGGCTATAGGGTATGCCTCTCTGGCTGGAGAGACAGAAAGCAAAAATCACCCCACGGGGAGGATAGTCATGCTGCAATCCCTTCTCCTCCAGTCTCCTCTCGGGATTTTGGGCACGCATGCGTGAGTTTCAAGTTGCTGAGTCTGCAACTCGAACAGCAGGAGGTCTGGTCCCAAGAACACTGAAGGGCTCTTCAGAGGAGTAAAGCCAGCCCCTTCAGACCTTTTCCAAATCGGCAACTCTAAGCTACATGAAAAATGCTCCTTTGCCTGGAATCTGATCATCAAATCCTCTGTCTAGGGGCCAGCAGGTGGCAGGGTGGTTAAGGTGCTAGACTCCCACGTGGTCAACCACAGTTCAAGACCAGACCAGGTGGCTTGAAAATCGTGCCGGGCACATGTGCGTGCATGCCCATGTGAAAATCGTGCCGGGCACATGTGCGTGCATGCATATGATTTTGAAAGGAGAATAGAGGAGAAGGGATTGCAGTGTGGCCATCCCCTCTGGGGAGTGACTTCTCACTTTTCCTCTCACTATTTTTCTCTGTCTCTCACTGGCCAGTGTATGGACCCTATGGCTCAAAACCCCTCTGGGGAGTGACTTCTCACTTTTCCTCTCACTATTTCTCTCTCTCTCTCACTGGCCAGTGCATGGACCCTATGGCTCAAAATGAAAACCAAAACCAAAACCAAAACCAAAACAAGGGTCCAGGGATACCGCAGGGAGGAGAACGGGTGTTTTCCCCAGCGCCAGACTCTAAGGCCAGAGACCTCCGCCCCTGAGGTCCCTCTGGAGAGTGACTTCTCACTTTTCCTCTCACTATTTCTCTCTCTCTCTCACTGGCCAGTGCATGGACCCTATGGCTCAAAATGAAAACCAAAACCAAAACCAAAACCAAAACAAGGGTCCAGGGATACCGCAGGGAGGAGAACGGGTGTTTTCCCCAGCGCCAGACTCTAAGGCCAGAGACCTCCGCCCCTGAGGTCCCTCTGGAGTGTCCGTTGCACCGTTATCAAGCCTAAACAGGGCAAAGCGGGGTTTATTATAGAGGTGAACTTACTGCAAACCTACACGGGCTGCATGGCTATGCCCACTCTGCACTTAGAGAAACAAAGTCCACGCATTCACTCTCCACTTCCGCAAGCAGCACCTTGAAGACAGACTGCTCCAGTTGAAGGCGTTTTCCAAGAAAACATGCCCTGAACGGTGGTTGACCCTCCACCCGCCTAGCAAAATCTGGTCACCTACGATCAGTCCGAGATTTCAGTGCCGGGTCCTTCTGTGAGTTGCTACATCCCGACCCGTGAGGCCACCCTGCCTCCCAAGTTCCTTGTTTCTCCTGTGCTTTCTCTTTCCAGATAGCGTGATT